TTTTCTTTTCTCTTCTTTCTGTTTTTGAAAACTTATTTTTAAGAAAACAGCCAATCTAGTTTGGTTGGTCCATGATATGGGTCCAATAGTAGTGTAGTTGGATGGGGCTTGCGAAGACCTTTCCAACGATATATTATAAGCCCAATTCCGATAAATATTGAGGAAGTTATGGCCAATTTACCAAACTGGGTCCGGTTTGAGCTTTATGTACGGCCCAATGATCTAGGGGTGGGCCTAATATGATTTATCATTCCTAATGAAATTAGGAATGATTTTAGTCTTCTAGAATCTTCTATAAGGTTTTTTTCATTCCTAATTCAATTAGCATTGATGAATTGACTTTTGTTGACTTTTTAGAGTATTAATCAAAATCAAATAGCATTTTTGAGGAAATTATATTATTTTATCCTCCAGTACGGTAAACTTATCGGATTTTCGAAAACGCGTTGGAATCAGGCTTGGCGCCTAACCCCAGGCCGTGGCGCCTGGCGCTAGCCATTGGCGCCTGGCGCTAGGGGTGGTGCCTGGCGCCAGCTAGCCAGGGTTGGCGCCAGCTCTGTTTTCTGAGCGTCAGACTCTGTTTTGTTAAATTATCTTTTTGGCTGATTTTCTTTATAAATATTGTATTAAAAACTTCTTTTTCATTCACCAATTCATCATCAATTCTCATCACCAATCATTAATTCTTTAGCATTCTCTAAATCATTCATCTCTCTTAAAACATTCAATTATTTCTTTCTAAACCTTTGTTTTTCATACGAAATTCCGCATTCACAAGATCTAGAAATACCTAGCCATATTCGAAGTTGCCTTCGCCCTAGACGTAAAAGGTTTAATTTCTGAGGGTTTGGTCCCAAATCTCTCTTTCAATTATTTAATTTAATTGTTTGATTATTATTTTCCTTAAAGTTACTGACGTGTGTATTTTGTTATTAGAAAGAGGTACGAGGCATCAAAGTAAGTACTTTAATGGTTTTTATTGACATTATGATGTAGAAATCATGTTTACATTGTTATTATGATATTTCTAGTATCATGTTTAGGGAAAATGTTATAATATCAAACATGCTTGTTATGATTCCTGCGATGCTTCCTATGTTCTTCCTAATATTTATTCATGTTAGTATCATGCTAGGGTTAAAGGTTTGATTTTTAATGCTTAGTGACATGCTAGGATTTGTTATTAATCTTGTTAGTATCATGCCTAGGATCTTGCTATTTTTATTATGCTTTAATATTAACATGGACATGATTATGATTATAATTGTCATGATTTATGATTATTATTATTTTAACGATGATTATTTTATTTATGATGATTATTATTCATGATTATTTATTATGATATTTATTATGTTGCTTGATATTTATTGTTATTGCTTGATCACATCTTTTATTGCATGTTAAAGGGAATTTGTACTTGTAATCACACTTAATAAGATAATTAATAATCTTGTTAGGGTTAATTGTGATTATAATTTCAAGTGATCGCCAATAATAGATTTGTTTGTGCATTAAATTCAACCAACATAGCTAAACAGGTTTAGGGTTAATCCTATTGATTGTATGTTAGTCAAAAAGCGCACATGAATACGATCAGAATAAAGTAGAGGCCTATTATTAGGGCAGGTTCAATCTCTTTTAGGTTGGATTTGTACCTTCATCCCCGAACCCTTATTTGGTTCATGACCTTATGGAGTTGACGATCTCTTGGATCGTTAAGGGGTGTAACCTTCACCTCGTGAACGGTTTACTAGTTCCTAAAAAAACTTGTTGGCGACTCTTTTGCTCTATCTTCTTCCCTTTTGGACACCACCGTACTTTTGTGTATGATCACATTGGGGTTCAAGCTAGTGGGATTAAAGCTTGAAATATTCCCTACAACTAACATTTTTTATCTCTTTGTTTTTTTTAGTGAAGTCCTTAAAAAAAAAAACTACAGCAGCAAAAACAAAACCGAAACCCAACCCGCAGCCCTGTCCCGCGCCCTCCCCACCCCCCTCCGCAGCCACTGCCAGCCCGCGACAGTGGGTTTTGGCGAACCCACCCAACAAAAAAAAGTAGAAGAGAAGAGAGAAGAACGTTCATTACCCCACCCTCTCTCTCTCTCTCCTCTCCCTCACCACCTCCACCACAACCGCAGCCACCACCATCGCCCCACCCCTTTAGCGACCACCACCCAACAAACCTCCACCCTCCGATCACCATCTATCACCATAATCCTTCTCTTCCTTTTTAATTTCATAAACCCTAACTTTTCCAATTGATTTAGGGCTTTTGAAATTACAAGTTGTGTGGCATCAAATTGGGAATTTTTGAGGTATCCTTGGACTATTATAGGAGGTTTGACATGATTTTGATGCACAATTCTCATTGTAGAGGTATAAATTTCAAAGTTTTCATCTCTTACTATTCTATAATTGTGTTAATTCTTGAGTTTTAACCTTTTTATCATCTATTTTCCCAAGTTGGTGTGGTAGTATTGATTTTGTGTATAATTTTTGTGTGGATTGGTTGTGAATTATTTTGGGTGACACATATTTGGCTCTGGATTATTCTTTTTCATTGGTTTGTGTTTCTTTGTTGATTAAATTTCTCATCACTTTCACCATGAGTACAAGAACACGAACCTCTTCGGCACCTAAGCCACTCTATTACCCCACAAAACGACTTACACAATCTAAGCCAACCTCTAAAACCTCCTCACCTAAAGCACCATCTAGATTCCAACCTCTCCCCCCATCACCATCAAATCCACTTTCTTGGTTAACCGAGTCTCAAAAACAATGTGCAAGGAAGCTCAAAGATCAAACCATGGGAAACACTCTTTACTTTTCTCTCTCAGATGCTAAAACCCTTGGGTTTGAATGGTTCTTTGATAGCATTGCAATAACACATGGATGGAGTAAGGTCCTTCGTATTGATCATGATATATGTCCATCACTTGTCATTGAATTTCTTGCCTCACTTGATGTCCAATCAAATGAGGGAGATGTTGTATTTTCTTTGGATGGAGACGAGCGGATTATGTCATGGGACGATGTGAACATGGCTTTTTGATGGCCGAATAAAGGTGTCATGGGTCCGAAAGAATTTATGAAATTCAAGGGAAGTCCAAGATACTCTCTCTTCGACTCGAGCACTTTTTGGAAACAAATAACAGGTCGAACAGATTGGGAGTCCGGTGTTAGAAAATCTAGTTCTATTGGTTTTCCATCTCTTCGCATGCTACATCGATTTATCCTTCAGTTATTTCGACCCAAGAGTGAGGCCGGCCAGGTGATTACATTGGACTTAAAACTTCTATAGTGGCTCACTAGATCTCATGGAAATGCAAGCCTTAATCTCGCCAAATTCCTCATTGAAGCATTTTTATGGGAGCGGGATCTGAAGAAGGGTGATATTTCCATGGGTGGATTTGTTTCTGTGTTGTGTGCGGCATTATATGTTGATTTAAAAAATAAAGAGACATTTGAATCCACCAACTACATCAATCAGGCTGCAATGGACAGATTTGGTTGGCTTTTTCACCAGTGCAAGGGTCGATATATTTGGTTTGTTAAGGGTTAGCGAAGTTCCGATGCAAGGTTGGTGTAAGACATTTTCTCAAATGATGCACCCCACGATGCAAGTGGTCAAAGTTGGAAATCACGTGAGATCACCAAGCGAATAGAGGTACACGGTGAAGTGCAACGTACTTTCCCTTGTTCACATTGTCAATCAGCGACCGCTAGATCAAATAGCCCGGTGGTTGAAGATACCTCTCATTCTCGCCCTCCACCATCCTCTAGTAACCCAACTTCTAGTTCTACGACAGCTCCACTCACTCTTGATGAGCAACTGAAAAATTTTATGGATTCGTGTCTTTCTTTTCAGGATTCAGCTCTTACACGACTCACCACCATTGAAGGACAGGTACAGGATCTATATGCTGAGATTTGTGATTTGCGTCGCCATGTTAGAGTTCCTAGGGCCACTGTTTCTGCTGTTGTCACTGCTACCATACCTAATGGTAGTAGCGAGTCCCTTTGAGTGAGCCATACCTTTCCTTTCTCCTTTGTATGCTTGTACACAATGGGGACACTATGCTTCATTCTAGCTTGGGAGAGGGATATTTATCTTTAATTGCTTTCATAGTGTAGTTTTTATTGCTTTCTTAGGACTGTTGTACGGTTTGTACCATTCATTAGGAGTGGGAGTTTACGTGCAACGAAAAAAATGTATTGCTTTCTTAGTTTAGTTGTGCTTTTTATTATGTATATTTGTTCCTTTCTTACATTTGTTTGACTTCGAACCGTGTGCGGATTAGATTAGACTCTCTTGAGCTTCTTCTCATCATAGTTATGATTTTAAAATTCGGTCGGTGTGCTTTATACGTTGATAACTACGTAGCAATGTAGCTTGCAATTAATAGGTTTGTGGTAAGATGTTTTGCTCTTTTTGAGTCTAGCTAGTCGAGATTTTGTAGACCCCAAGCCATGTGAGTTTTTGAAACCTGATTAATTGACTGTCACATTTATAACAGTCTATATTTTTGTATGTGTGATAGTTCCTGGTGCAACATTGATCTTGATTTTGCCTTAAGACTCGTAGTAATTCGGTTGTGATGAGTGTACGATTGAAATGATAAAGGTCTTTATTTTTCTTAATTTGAGCCTCCAGAAGTTATTTTTGTACATTTGCTCCTTAATTGTTACCCATGTTGAGCTTTATCCTTCATTGAATTAGCCATATTACAAGCCTTCGGCCTCAATTGGTTACTATTCCCAAGTCTAGCTTGGGAGAGTGGTCTATTTGTGATTTGTGATTTTTATTTGGATAAATATTTGGTTCATGGTGCAATAAAGGAGATTTTGAAAAAAAAAATAATAAATAAAATGAATAAAATAAAATAAACTAAAATTATAAGAAAACTAAAAATAAATAAAAGAATTAAGAAATTGGGTTACCTCCCGATAAGTGCTCTTTTAAAGTCGTGAGCTTGACTTCTTACCTCTATTTCAAGCATCAATTGGTGGATCGCAGAGATAAATCATCTGCAATTTGCCGATAAAAGCACCCTCAATATATAGCTTCAAACGTTGTCCATTTACCTTGAATTTCGTGCCGTTTTTGCTAGCAACCTCAATGGCTCCATGTGCTTTGACATCAGTAACTGTGAAAGGCTCGGACCATCTAGACTTAAGCTTTCCAAGAAAGAGCCGAAGTCTCGAGTTATAAAGAAAGACCTTGTCGCCAACCTTGAACTCTCGTTTCTGGATCATCTTATCATGAAAATTCTTCGTTTTCTCTTTGTAGAGCCTATGATTCTCATAAGCATCAAGGCGTATCTCATCTAGCTCGTTCAATTGAAGAAGTCTTGCTTCACTGGCCTTTTCTAGTTCTAAATTAATCTCCTTGACGTCCCATTTTGAAAGATATTCCATTTCGACCGGTAAATGACAAGCTTTGCCATACACCAACCGATATGGAGTTGTCCCTAACGGAGTCTTGTAAGCCATTCGCAATGCCCACAATGTATCATCCAACTTCAATGACCAATCTTTCCAGGACTTGTTGACAACCTTTTCAAGGATTCTTTTGATTTGTCGATTAGATACCTCAACTTTTTCGCTCGTTTAAGGATGATAGGCCAAGCCAACCTTGTAAGTAACTCCATGTTTCTTAAGAAGAGCCTTGAAAGTTCGTTGATGGAAATGAGAACCACCGTCACTAATAACAACTCTTAGGACTCCGAACCGCGGAAAGATGATCTTTTTAAATAGCTTCATAACGACTTTTGAATCATTAGTAGGCGACGTAATAGCTTCGACCCACTTGGTGACATATTCGACGGCAACCAAAATGTATCGATTCCCACAAGAAGAGGGAAATGGTCCCATAAAATCAATGCCCCATACATCAAAAGGCTCGACCTCAAGAATCCCATTTTGTGTCATCTTTTGCCTCTTCGATATATTTCCCGTTCTTTGACACTCATCACATGCATTACAAAAGGCACGAGCATCCTTGAATAATGAGGGCCAATGGAAACCACATTAAAGCACTCTATAGGCAGTGGCAGTAGAACCAAGATGCCCACTAGAAGGTAGATTATGGCAATGACGAAGGACACCATGAGTATCCCAATCTTCTACACATCTCCGAAACATCCCGTTAGAACACATACGATACAAGTGAAGGTCATCCCAAAAGTACCGCTTGGCATCATGGTAAAACTTCTTGCGTTGTTGGTAAGTCAAATCCGGAGGATGTAAACCACCTACACAAAAATTATCATAGTCAGCATACCATGGAAATACAAAAGAAACGAGGAATAAATGATCATCGAGGAAAGAGTCATTTATAGGGCTATCTGAAGTAGACTGAAATCTCAATCGAGAAAGGTAATCCGCAACAACGTTCTCGGCACCCTTTTTATCTCGAATCTCTAAATCGAACTCTTGAAGGAGCAAAATCCATCGAATGAGCCTCGGTTTAGCCTCTTTCTTTGCTAGGAGATACTTCAGAGCGGTATGGTCAATGTGGACAATTACTTTCGAACCAATGAGGTAAGTTCGAAACTTGTCAAGAGCATACACAACAGCTAGGAGCTCTTTCTCAGTGGTGGCATAATTCATCTAAGCCTCATCCAAGGTTTTACTAGAATAGTAAATGGCATGCAAAACCTTGTTCTTTCATTGTCCAAGCACGGCTCCCACAGCATAGTCACTCGCATCACACATGATCTCTAATGGAAAATCCCAATCTGGAGGTTGTATGATAGGAGCAGTTATCAATGCCTCCTTAATCTTGTTAAAAGAATCCATACAAGCATCAATAAACTCAAATTTGGCATCCTTAAGGAATAATTGAGTGAGGGGTTTCGCTATTTTTGAAAAATCATTTATAAATTGGCGATAAAACCCTGTATGACCAAGAAAACTTCTCACTCCCTTGACATTCACGGGAGGGGGAAGTTTCTCAATCACCTCAATTTTTTCTTTGTCAACTTGGATGCCACGGTCAGAAATAAGATGACCAAGTACCACTCCTTCATTGAACATGAAGTAGCACTTTTCCCAATTCAAGACCAAATTAACATCTGTACAACGTTTAAGCACCTTAGAAAGATTATGCAAGCACATATCAAAGTCAGAACCATAAACACTGAAATCATCCATAAATACCTCCATGATGTTCTCAATGAAATCAGAGAAAATGGCCATCATACACCTTTGAAACATCACAGGGGCGTTACACAACCCAAATGGCATTCTGCGATAAGCAAATGTACCAAAGGGGCATGTGAACGTTGTCTTCTCTTGATCTTCCGGGTGAATGGGAATCTAAAAGAAACCTGAATATCCATCCAAATAACAGAAAAAACTATGTTTTGCTAATCTTTCAAGCATTTGGTCTATAAGAGGTAAGGGGAAGTGATCTTTCAAGGTGGCTGTATTCAACCTACGATAATCGATACACATACGCCAACCTGTGACAACACGATTAGGAATTAGTTCATTCTTATCATTTTTAACAACAGTTGTCCCCCCTTTCTTAGGAACGAATTGTACCCAGCTCACCCACTTAGAATCTGAGATGGGGTAGATGATGCCCGCGTGAAGAAGTTTCATTACCTCTTTCTTCACCACCTCTTGCATATTAGGATTCAATTAACGTTGTGGTTGGATGCAAGGGCGATGATTCTCTTCCAAATTGATTCTATGCATACAAAAATTAGGACTTATCCATGTAAGATCGTCAATGCTATACCCGATTGCCTTTTTATGCATGCGAAGCACAGTCAAAAGCTTAAAAACTTGGCTATTATGGAGTTTAGCACTAACAATTACAGGGAATTCCTCATTATCATCAAGAAATGCATATTTAATATGAGAAGGCAAAGGTTTTAACTCTACCTTTTTTACTTGTGACTCTGAAGTAGAACAAATAGTTTCCATTACCTCGAACCCCTCAGTTTTAGGGGCATCCAATTCGCAAATTAAGGAGTCAATCTCTGCATCTCCTTCTCCTTCAAAGACCTCCAGGGTGAGAACAGCTTCTAATGGATCATTAGCTAACTCACGAGGCGTATCATCTCTCACAATCTCATCAAGCACATCAATCCTGCAACAAGAGCATAGGCGACTTCATCGCATTGGTTAGATTAAAAGTCATTGTATCACCACCAACAAACAAAGTAAGGGACCCAAACTTGACATCAATAACAGCACTCGCAGTACACAAGAAAGGTCTCCCTAAAATTATCGGGATATTACTATCCTCCTCCATATCCAAAACTACAAAGTCAACGGGAATGAAAAATTTCCCAACCCGAACGGGGACATCCTCCAAAACGCCTAAAGGTTATTTTATAGAACGATCCGCCATTTGCAAAGTGATATGTGTGCATTTTAAAGCTCCCATATTAAACCTGTTACAAACATAAAGAGGCATAACAGACACACTAGCACCTAAGTCACATAAAGCTTTATCAATGAACAATGCACCTACATGACATGGGATGGAAAAACTACCAGGGTCCTTAAGCTTAGGTGGGGATTTATTTTGCAATATAGCACAACACTTTGCAGTTAGAGCGACTGTTTCTACACGACCAAAGTCTTTCTTCTTAGTAATTATTTCCTTTAAAAACTTTGCATACATTGGAACTTGAGAGACCAAATCAGTAAAAGGAACAGTTACCTCAAGGTTCTTGACCATAGTCAAGAACTTACCAAATTGTTGATCTATCTTGTTGTTTTGCATCCGATGTGGGAATGGTAGCTTTGGCTTGACAGGTGGAGGCTCGGAACCTTTCTTTTTCTCTTTCTCAGCATCACTTGCTTTAGCTTTCCCATCTTTTGAGGTGGGGACATCATCCATGGCCTTCTCTGCAACCTTACTCTTATCCTTCTCAAGATTTGCATCATCAATAGGCATTTGGGGCCCTTCATAGCTAACACCACTACGAGTAGTGATAGCATCGGCGGTCTCCTTAGGGATAGGTTGTCCTAGTAAGTGGCCAGGTTGCCTTTAGATATTGGTACCTGCGACTTACGCGATTTGGTTCTCCAAATGCTTTGTCGTATTTTTCAAATCCTTAATGCCAGCTTCAGTGTTTTTCTTCATGGATGTCATCATTCTCATGAGGTCAAACAATGTCGGCTCTTGAGTGCTAGCATTTCCATGAGTAGGTTGTGGAGGTGGTCTATTGAAACCCGGAGGAGCATGATGAGAGGTCACTTGTCGATTGGGTGGAGGCCTTGCAACATATTGTTAAGGTTGAGGATTCTGAGGCTGTGACCACTGTTGCTGAGGTTGAGGATTTTGAACATTGTTGCTTTTATATGAGAAGTAGGGATGATTCCTCCAACCTGGATTGAATGTGTTATAATATGGGTCATTTGGTAGCCTTTGTTGAAAGGCATTCACCTGCGCCATCTGATTTGTATCTTGAGAATTCTAAGCACATTGATATCCAAAGTGGCCCTGTATGCCACACAATTCATAAAAAAAAATTATTTTGCAGAGGTTGAGAAGACATAGCATTAACAGATACAAGAGAGGAGTCCTGAGTGGCTTGTAATGCATCAATCTTTGCAGTTAATTGAGCCATCTGAGAAGTCAAGATTGAATAGGCATCAACTTTTATCTTCCCTTTCTTTGCTCGCGTCCTTGGAGAAGAGAAATGATTGGCTGCAAGATTTGCAAGGAAATCATACCCTTCCTCGATTGTCTTGTCAAGGAAAACAGCACTTGCGGCAGAATCAACAATACATTTAGTCTTGGGTTCTAGTCCGTTATAGAAATTACGAACAAGATTCCACTTCTCAAAATTGTGATGCGGGCATGATCGTTGAAGAACTAAGAATCTATCCCATGCTTCCCTAAGAGATTCCCCCGACTCTTGAGAAAATGTTGATATTTGATATCGAATCTTTTTAGTTTTTTCAGGAGGAAAATATTCTTTGAGGAATACTTGAGAAATCTTGCTCCACTCCGTCTCCTCGACAGTGTTCAACCACTTTTGAGCTCTATCACGAAGGGAAAATCTGAACAACATCACCTTCAATCGATGTTGAGTGACTCCTTTGTGATGAACAGTGGAGCATAATTGTTGAAATCGCTGCAAGTGATTAATTTGCTCGTCAGTAGGATGGCCGCTAAACTGATTTTGTTGGACCATACTGAGCAATGCGGGTTTAATTTCAAAGTTCTCTACAGTGATTGCTGGCATTTTAAGACCCGTTGGAATGCCATCTTGGGACGGTACTCCGTAAGAATTAAGAGACCTATTAACAGTCATCTCTTTGCGTGTGTCAGACTGTGTTGTAGAGCTCTTCTGTGAGTGAGTCTTTTTCTGCTTCCCTTTCCCTTGTTTTTTTAGTTGCCTAAGGGTCTTGTCCAAGTCCGGATCCGTAGGGATCAAATCACCTGTTCGTTTTGACCTGGGCATCAACAAAAAGAAAAGAAAGCAATGAGAATGTCTCAATTGAAACTAGAAGTTCCAATGGGACAATAAAAACAGTTCAAACAATCAAACTAAAACTAATAGAATCTAGCCGTCTCCCCGGAAACGACGCCAAAAACTTGATGAATAAAAAGTTATACCGCAAGTGCAAGGTGTCTTTTGTTAGCAGAGACTTAGCAAATACGGGTCGAATCCCACAGGGAGACAGGTTCTATTAGTTTTTGCCCAATTATTGTAAACTATTTCAATAAACGAAGAGTGGTTTGATAATTAATTAACTAAAGTATGACAATAACAAAAATAAAGTTGCTCTCAGATAATTAAAATCTAGGGCAAACGTTCGGTCCACCATGCTAATACCAAACCAAGAAATGCAAACAATCCATTAATAAACAAATTAGGTCGAATAATTAAAGCACTTATTAATCCTACAGTCGGGAATTAACCCTTACAAATTAACATATGTAGTTCGGTCGCTAACAT